CCTGAAAAGGGAAGAAGAGCTTAAAAGGAAGATGCTTATCCATTCCAAACCCTGATTAGTGCTCCCAGGGACTGGCAGGGGTGTCCAAACTTTTGGTGTCTCTGGGCCACATGGGAAGAAGAAGAGTTGCCTTGAGCCACACATTAGATATACAAACACTAACGAAAACAAAAACAACTCGTTGTGTTTTAAGTAAATTTATGATTTTGTGTTGGGCCCTGTTCAGAGTCACCCTGGGCCAAAAGTCAGACAGCCCTGGAGTGGATGGTGGGATGTGAGCCTTGTTCTGCTTCTTTGCTTTACGGTGGAGAGAAATTTGAAACTGGGGTCGCCGGCTCCTTCCGAGGGTGGCCAGTTTGGTATCTGCACACTTACTGCAGGTCTTCAGACGCATGCCAGGGACCATTCTGTTTGAGGCGCCTGAGGGGAAGTTTTCTCCTACCCCCTTGGCTCCTCTGTATGGTAAATGGCGGGCTTTTCTGCTTCTTTGTCTTCGTGCGGAGGGAGTGGTCCCCCTAAATATTTCCAGGAATGGAATGGAAATTTCAGCTTAGTTTTATGAAAAGTATCTCTTGGTGAAAGGGCGAGAAAGAAGGGAACTAATGTTTTCTAAGCGCTAAGCACTATTGTTCTGTACCTCACCGCCCCCCTCCACCCCGTTCTTGACTTCTTGACGCTTCCATTGTTGTTACCTATTGGTGTGGATGAGTCATGCATCCGGTAAGTTTAGGTTCATTTAGGTTCATTCGGTTCTGTGTTTCTGTTTTCAAGGAGATTTCTGATACATACGTTCATTTTGAAGTGGAAGTTTTTAAATTCATTTCAAATAACTCTGGTTTTGTGATTCAATAAAAAGTTTTTCAGTAAAAATAATTTTAAGCATTTAATTCAAGGCATGGCAAGTTAGTCTAGTTTATTATAGTTTTGGTTCATGATTTAATCTGAGTCCTTAGAGTTTATAAATAAAATCATGAACTATACACTGTACATAAACCTGTAAACTATACTTTAAAATCTTCATCCTGCTCTAAACACAGTAAGGTTTTATAATCTGATAGTTTATGTTTTTCTTCAACTCTGAGAAATTCCATTCTACTTTTTTCTTATGAATTATCCCCTTCTACTCTCTCTTCTTTCCTTTTGTAACTTTTATTAGATAGATATTGCACCGTGAGTATCTTGCCTCTGTAGCTTTCACTCATGAAAAAAAAAATCTCATAAACTTTTCATTTCCTTGTCTTTTGCTCTGTGTTTGGGAGAATTTCTTCTGTTTCTTTCATTAACTCAGTTTCCTCTGTCTGATACTCCTTTTGTTAGTTGAGTTTTGTGTTTCTCTTTCATGGGATTGCTTTCCCTCCCCCCACGAAAATCTTGGGTGATTTTAATTGTCTGCCCATCTTCTTTTTGATAATGCTTTTTGCCTGCCTGGTCTGTTTATCATAGCCTCTCCCAGGGGCTGTGAAGGAAGGGCACACATGCTATGCAGAAACAGTGAGGGCTCCCTCTCATATCCAGGCGGTCAGGAGGTTCCTGGCCTTAGGTCCCAGGATCCCCACTGACTTCTTTATCCCACAGGCAGACCTCTGATCCTCAATGCCAGCAGGGGAGAGGAATTATTCTAGGGCCCCTTCTGCCTCTTGTACAATTTGACTCTTTCTTGGAACTTGCCTAAACTATTCCTTCTGAACTTGTTTTGATTCCCCTGATTGTTTCTGTCTAGAACAGTACTGCCTCTCTCTTGAATATCTCAGAATTTCATAAAAATTCTTAGAAAATTGATCTCCCTTTTTCTCATTTCTCTGTGCTGTTAGATTTCTGGGTTCTCTTTAAGACACAGCTTTTTACATTATGCTAAGTGAAATAAGCCAGGTGGTGAAAGACAAATACCGTATGATCTCACCTTTAACAGGAACCTAATCAACAAAACAAACAAACAAGCAAAATATAACCAAAGACACTGAAATTGAGAACAGGGTGACAGTGACCAGAGGGGAGAAGGGAGGGAATTTCAGGGGAATTACAAAGGATACACGGACAATAATGGTGGGGGAACAGGGGAGGGAGGTGGGGAGGCCTGGGGTGTTGAGCGGGGGTGGGGGGGGAAGGCAGAAAACTATACTTGAACAATAAAAAATTTGTTAATTAAAATATATAAAATATATATGAACATAAAAAAGACAGCTTTTTCTAAGATTTAGGAGGGAAGAGAAAAAAAAAATATGTGTTCAATCCACCATCTTGATCCTATCTCTACCTATTATTTTCTTAATTATCTCTATTATCAGATAATGCAAGTTCAGTGTGACAAACTCAGAGGATATAGAAATAGATAACAAGTGAATGTTCTTTCTTGTGTTAGATTTCTCTAATGACCTGACTTACATCCTCTTGGCCTCCCCCACAGATTTCAGCTGGAGCTGGGTAGAGATGTAATGAGGGCTTCGCCCCACTTCCTGGCTGACGGCATCTGTTTTCAAAGCCCACCTTCTCTCCTGGCCCAGGACTCTTCCAAAGCTGCCAATTGCCTGATGGCCATCTGGGGTGGTGGTCAGAGGGGGCGGCCCCCTAACAATCACCCACACTTCCGATAATTCCAGGAGGTATTCTGTACTCTTCTTAGGAAGTCTCTGCAGACTCAATCCCTGTTGCCCACGACCATAACCTCAATGATCAACCCTTATATCAGCTTTTCCTTCCTTTCTACTTTGCTCTCCCCAGTGTCTAATTCCCACTCCCTGGTTCTACCACTTCCCCCCTCATCTGACACTGCCTTTTTCCTCTGTACAGGCAAACCACGGAGATTCTGTGGGTTTGGTTCTAGACCACTGTAAAACAGCAAGTAATGAAATAAAAACAGTTGTTTTGCTAGTGGAGGGTCTTGCGGTCAGTTTGTAAACCATGCAATACCAAGGAAACACAATAAAGCGAAATGCATAAAACGAGGTATGCCTGTACTTCCCAACTCTCTCTCCCTCAGTTCTGCTTCATCATTTCACTGTAACTCTATTAGCTGTAAAGCATTTGGGGATGCTGTCAGGGTAACAGCCTCTGTAGCGAATGAGGTTGTATTGAATTATTTAGCTTTCAGCTAAAGTGGAGATAACTAAGGCAGCTGAGCTGGTTTGTAAAATCCTGGAGTAATCTGTCCACTGAATTGGTGCTTTTATCATACTCATATTTTCTCGTGGTTAAAAAATTATAAACTTTAAGGCTACAAAGAAATCTGTGTGCAATTTCTCAGTTTAGAGCCACAAACCTATAGCTAAGAATGATCTGTTTCACGAGGTTTATAATTATGTAGCTGTGGATCTGTAAGTCTAGGGAATCATAAATTGATTTAATAAGTTATTTTACATGAGACTTCTAAAAACATATTATCTCTCTTATTTTCGTTCAAAAGTAGATCAAGGATTTCTACTTGACATATATGATTGTCTCAGCTTTGAAAGTTGGCCTGTTTTTCTCGTTTTCCTTGCAAGAACTTGGTTCTTAAATAATTTTTTAAACGAAAAAGATCTTTTCTGCTTATAACTCAGTAATAAATTAATGTATTCTTAAATGTTATCAAAAAGGGGAGAATCATTGCTAATCTGATGGATGATGACAAATATTCACCTTCCCTATGTTACTAGGGTCCTTGGGAAATCAAGCTTAATAAGGGAGTGCAGAGGAGAGTTCTGTGGCCTTGTAATAGCTATGGAGTTTGCCCCCCTTCACAGATCTCGGTGTCTAACTGCCCACTCTCAACGAATGTGGCTGCTGCAGGAAGTGAAATATCTTTGCTGATGCTCAATGTATAAACTAAGCATGTACATCTGGCCATTAAATATCCTGTTCCCAGTGAATCCTGGAAAACAGCGTAATTATACTCCCAGGCAGATAACTCAGGAATAAAACTGTTCCGTAGTTGTGAACGCCAGGCAGCATCAAAGTTAAAATTGTTTCCTGGATCTCCGCCCTTTTACCCTCCACTGCCATCTCCATAATACCTGAGATTACCAGGTCTGATGACTGGTGAGAAGCCATTCCAGGTAGGCAGGTAGAGAAGGAGGACCGTTAACCTTTATTGCACAAGAAAGTCACGAAAATGGACCACCTTGCAAGCTGTCCATGTTCTTCTACTAGTTTTTCTCCCGAGGTGACTCGGGCGTGCCTTGTCTTTCTTCTCTGGCACCACCCTTGGTTCTAGCGTTTCGTTGGCCTGCTGCATCCCACACCACCCAGGCTTAGAGTGAGGAAGACCTGGAGTCTCACCTGGAGACTGGGGGCCGGCCAGGAGCTGCGGGTGGGCTGGTGTGGCAGCTTGCCTGTTGATTACAGTCCCCGCAGTGTGCGAGCGCCTTGGGACTGCGGGCTGCGCTCCACCAGTTTTGCCCTGTCCGCCCCGGTTCCGCCAGGTTTACAGACAGAAACAGGCTGGGAGTGGGGGGCCTCCGGCCCAGCGCCCACCTCTGTGCCCCCAGCATCTTCTCTTACCGCCAGAGGGAAGAAGCCCGCCCGGGAGCAGGCAAACGCACTAGCCCCAGGGGACAATGAGTCCTTGCCCAAACCGCTGCAACCGGGGCGCACTGCCCGGGTGCTCGGTTCGCCCACCCTACGGCCTAAGCAAGTCCGTATATTTAAAACACCTGGCTGTATACAGCGGGGACTCAGGGCGGGAAAGGCTGAAGTGCTCATTTTCTTTGCCAGGCTAGCCGGCCCGAGCTCCGGGCGCAAGAATTAGGCCCGAGCTGCAGAATCAAACCCTTTTCCCTGCAGCAAGGGGCTCGGGTAGTGCGCGGTTTGGGGAGATGAGCGACTATGGGGCCCTGCGGAGGCTGGGACGACTGGTGTCCTGGGCCTGGGCGGCCCGCTAGGAGGCAGAAGCCCGCCCCGGGAGCCTGGCAGGTGCCCCCAGTCGCGGAGGCTGATTGGCAGGTGCGGGAGTGGGTGGGGAAGGCGGGGGCTGGGCCTGGCGCTGCGGGAGGCTGCGGCCCCGCCTCCCCGCCCCCGCCGCGGGACTATCTGGTCCCGGCAGCAGCGATGTCCCCCGGCAGGAATGTCCCTCCTCAGATAATGTTATTTATATCTCTGGGCGGGTCCGCGGCTCGGCAGCACCAAGCGCCTGGCGGCCGCTGTGCCTGGAGCCCCGCGCTGCCCTCCTTCCCCTGCACCGCCACCGCCACCGCCACCGCCCCCGGGCTCGGGCTGGCCCCCGCTACAGCTCGGACGCTGGTGAGTCCCGGGAGGGCCCGGGGGCCCCAGGGGTTTGGGCGCGGGTGCGGATGCGCGAGTGTGGGGTGCGCGCCGCGAGCGCAGAGAGGCGTTGGGCCCAGGGGCCCCGGTGGGGGCCCACCCCCAGGTGCGGGGCGTGGGGGCGTCGCGGGGACCGGGAGGCCCTGGCGGCTGCGGCAACGAATACCCCGGGGCGCGGGAATCCGCGTGGGCTTGGGGAGGTGCTTGGTGAGCTGGGCACTTGCTTTGGAGAGGCAGATCCTGGAGTGTCGCCCCGGGGACGCTGGGAGGGCGGTGAGGGGGGTGCGTGTTCTGGTCCTGGGCTGTCTCCTCCAGGACCTCCGCTTGGGGGCAAAGGGGGTCCTGCCTCTAGCCTATCCGACCGTCCCTCTGCCGTCTCTGCCTACGCCGCCGGGCTTCTCAGTCCTGGGGCTGCTCAGATTCTCTTCTGGGGAACTTGGCTGTGCGCTCCCCGGGCAGCCCAGGACCCTAGGAGGGAGGACAGGTCTAGGCAGCGGAGCGGGAGCAGGGCGGCCCCAGGGCTCTGGGAACGACGTGGAATGGCCGGGTGCAGACCCAGGGAGGAGAGAGAGATCGGAGTGCTTCAAGTCATTCTCCAAGGGTCCCACCCTTTCTCGCCCAAAGAGTTCCGCTCCTGAAAGCTGCTATGGTCCAGCCTACTCTTACCGCCCCACTAGTCCCTCTCTCTCCAACGACTTGGCCCCGAGAAATAGAAAGTGGGAGAAATAACAGGAGCTTTTAAACAATCCCCAACTCCCACCAACTCGCCCATACTTCCAAGGGTGGGAAAGTAGCTGTAGGCTTGAGTACTGTTTCCGTGACAACGAGCTTAGGGTAGGGCCTTGATTTGTAGCCTGTTAATATCCAAACCACTGTCTTCGGTGAGCAGTTAGAGGCGCCAGGAGTTAATAACAGCAGGTTGACTTGCTGAAGGAAAATGAAAAGAAGCCACTGGGTTGTTGCTGTTGTTGTTGTGTGTGTTTGATGTTACATGCATCAGATGGGCATGCACAGGTGTGTGTGTGTGTGTGTGTGTGTGTGTGTGTGTAGTATAGTGACAGATTTTGCACTAAAACTCCTGTGAGGAGAGGCTAGGCCATTACCTCCAGGCAAAAGGCACCCATACAAAATCCACAGCCTTGAGATAGTCGTGATCTATACCTCAGTTTCTAAGGCAAGTGATTCTGGTGGCTTCTGAATGAGAGGAGTTGGGTCTGCAAACCAAAATTTCAGGCACCTCTCGACTATCCACTAATTTGTCCTAAGCTTCACAGATGGTTCCAAATTTTACTCTAGAATCTCCTCTTTGACCACCGGCCACCCTCATGACCCAGGGCAGGTCATTTCCTATTCCAGGGTGAGATTTTTACTCTTTCGCTAGGAGCCCTGAGTTCCAGAATATCTTAACCTCTTTCTTTGATAGGTGCAAAAAGTTAAGTGTACTGAGCACCCAGCACTCAACATAGCTAGGTTTGTACTGCCCCGGGGCTGTGGGCCAGTTAGGGAAAGGAATACACTGAAGAAGAGCCTGCCAGCCTTGGAAACAACGGACTCCTCAGAGATGGGTCATTTATACAGCACTTGATCAAACTCTAGAATAACGCACAACTGAAAGACATAAACCTTACATTATGAAAACCTGGCCTTTAGACCCATTAGCTCTTGCTCTTAGCTTTATCACTGGCTCAGTCACAATGATTGGGGAGGAGCTAGTCTGCTGGTAGAACTGAAAGCACCTGAAAACTCCCCGGCATCCAGGACAGGCCTGTGGCACAGGCGTATCAAGTTTTCCCGAGTGGCTTGCCCAGCTGAGAGCTGAGATACTACCTTTTGCTCTGGTTGTTGCTTCTTCCAAGTTTGCCCTAGCTGGTGTGGCTCACCAGCTAGGTGTCCCCTAGCAGAACACCTGCTAGGTGATTGGCTTTGGGGCGGGTAAAGATATGGCAGGAGGCAGGCTCCTAGCTGGGGTCACATCTGACAAAATAAAAATGACTATTTTAGGCAAACTAGGTATGAATGAAAGTTTTGAACTAAAGTCAAAATCTGAGGGTTCTGCCACAGTTCTGGAGACAGACTGTTTTTGGTCAATAAACATAGTAACAGCTTTCTCCTCCACCCTCCATCTTTCCTGTACCAGTGCCTAGTTTGGTGCCTGCACACTAGGTTAACCTTTGTTGTGTGAGCGAGAGAATGAATAAGTAAATGCTCATTCCTTATATGAGCCTATTTCATTCACAGTAACTCTGCAAAGTAGCTCATATTATCAGCATTTTACAAGTGAGGAAATAGGTTCAAGGAGATTAAATAATTTGCTTCCCATCATGCAGCTGGTGCGAGGTGGGGCCAGGATTCAAACTCGGCTGTTTGGTTCCACCCTCTTTTTAAGGTAGACACTCAACAGGGGATATAGTAGTACAAGTTGGAGAGATTTGGTTGTAGGATTGCATAGCTTCACAATCTAATCTCAAGACCTTGAGTAATAATTCTGCTTATATCAGACAGGCTTTAAAAATCTTACCTGAAGATGGTATCAGGCACGTATTTGCTCATTGGTGTTTGGCCTTGCCCATGAGGTTTAGGTCATTGTTTCAAGGACAGAACTGCAATTTTGGCAGTAGTCAAAGCATGTATTTTTTTGAAAACAGATTTTCCTTTCAGTCCTGGAAGTGGCCAGGAGGGCTTGATGATGCATGAGGACAGTGTGATACGACAGAGGATGACTATAAAAAATTCATGAGGCAAATGCTATTGGAGAGGGAAGGGGCCTTGGAGGTCACTGAGTCCAGCCTCCTATTTGTGTAGTCACTTGTTTAATAGTGAGACTAGCTGCAGTTTACCTGGTTGTCTATGTGCAGATTCGGGACATGCCTCCTACATTTCCGTTATTTTCTGTCTCTCTCTCTCTCTCTCTCGAGGCCAAAATTGAGTTTATTTCCTAGAGTTCTGCCTAATCAACACACTGAAGTTTTCACCCCTTTGGGGAATATTTTGAGAGGATATACTGTAAACTCAATACTTTCACCTTGGTGAAATCTTTAAAAAAATATATTGGAGATGGGGGGAGAGATGTTAGTGTACATTAAAATCTAAACTGTTCCATAATCTCCCCTTTACCTGTTAGGGTTACAGATGCATGTATTTTTATGCAAGAAGTATGCACATTACTGTCTTGAGATGGTATTAATCTCAAGACCAACAATTACGTAGCATTTCTGGGGCCGTGGAGGAGAGAAAGGACCTTAGGGAATTATTGGGACTATCGGATACCTGTTTAATCTAAACTCAGTCAATTATATCAAAATCAAACACAAACTTTACCCTCTATCCAATACCTGAAAAGGTAGGAAACGTAACCAGTGGGGAGTTTATTTTTTATTTTATTTTATTTTATTTATTTTTTAGAGAGAGGGGAGGGAGGGAAATATCGATGTGAGAGAGAAACATCGACTGGCTGCCATCTGTTTGTGCCCCGACCTGATTGGGGACTGAACCCAGACCCCAGGCATGTGCCCTGAGAGTCGAACTGGCAACCTTTCCATTTGCCAGATGATACACGGGCAACTGAGCCACACCAGCTAGGGCAAACAGTGGGAGGTTTAAACTGAAATAAAGTCTATCTCTTCATCATCCATATGATTTTTTCTAACCTCAAACCTGCAGATTAACATTTACAAATCGACTTGGGAGGATTGAGAGTAAAAATAACTACGCTGTGTGGGCTGATGAGAAATTTGATTTTATAATGAGGACTGGCAGGGAAGTTCATGGACACTGGGTTTTGAAACCATATGAATATTACTAGCCAAAAGTTACTGTGGAAAGAAGTGTTTTGTTTTAAAAGTCAGTTGTATGGCCTCAGTTTTTTACGAATAGCTCGCTGGTTACTTCCCTATTTCAGATAAGAAATCAGAGGAGGAAGGGTAAATGCAGTGATCTGTGTGCCAGAATCATTGCGTAGCCTTTGCTGGGTTTATCACAAAGATGCTGCTTTCCTCTGACAACCCCAAAAGGCACTGGCCACGTGGTTTCGGAGATGGGAAGGTGATTGAGGGACGGTGTAGGAAGCAGTCAGGAGAATTCACTGTCAGATCCGGCTACACTCACTGAATTGTCAACTCCCCTTGGTAAATATTTAGAAAATGTCATAGCATGTTTCCCTTTGTTGCTGTGCTTATTTCTTAATTCACAGCCAAAGAGCCAATTCTTCCATTTTCAGCCAGCCTAAGCTGAATATCAAACCACTAGGGGATCCCAGCTTTACAGCTCACACAGTGTGAGTGTTAGCAGCAGTCATAGACAGAAAATGCTTCCTTTATGCATTGCCTGGCTAGCTTTTGACATTCCCAGACCACCTCTGATTTTTTTCTTTCCTTCTTCTGGTGGCGGGAAATATAATGAAGCATCTTCTTCCTACCTCAGTGAGGCCTTTTCAGGCTTTGCCATAATGTTTAATTTCCACACTATACCTGTGCAGACCTGGCCAAGGGTATAATTGCAAGGGCAATTAAAATCCAGACGTTTATCACGTTAGCACTGGGGGCAAAAGTGAGGCCTCCTTTCTTTCTTTCATTTCAATGCTATAAACTGAGCAAGTGAAAAAGCACAGGGCTCGAAAAAAATAGACTTTGCAGTGAACTTGGCTCAGATCATCCAGGATATTTATGAAAAGAATAACGGGGCACCTTGACAGCTAAAGAACAATAATTGCTTTGAATTATAGTCAGTTCAGAAGTTTCCACCACCATGAAAAGAAGCAGAAACTTGCATAATCCTAAAAGGGAGTAAGTTGAAAATATGAGTGAGTCTCATTTGAGAATTCATAGTACTTCATGTAAAACAAAGGATACTTGAAAGACATAACGTGAGGACTGGAAAGCGGTACGTCCCTACCCTCATTCTGTCCTTCTCCACAGTTCCTGCCTGTTTCCACAGGCCCCCTAGGAATAGTTAGTCAAATTTACCTTCTATCATATTTTCTC